AGAGAGAGATTGGGCGGAGGCCAGGGAGGCTTGCCTGCAGTGCCGTTGCTCCAGTTTCGTCTTTGAGGTACCTGCAGCACAGCGCCATCTTCACAGGTTAGTACCTGACACGTGAGAGAGAGAGAGAGAGAGAGAGAGAGAGAGAGAGAGAGAGAGAGAGAGAGAGAGAGAGAGAGAGAGAGAGTTCTTCTTCCTCTTCTCAGTCTACCATCTCCCTCCCACCCTCTCGCTACCTGACTTCACTGCATCAGCGGACTACGAGAGACAGAGAGCTTGGTGACATTTGGATCCAGACTCGACATTGGGCTTCAGACATTTTGACTAGGGATTATTTGGGACTTGTAACGAAGACTTGGTGTTAACAACTTTCCCATCTCCCCCCTCCTCTTCTTCGTTTGTTTCCCTCCTCTTCGTCTGTGCATAATCTGGACCTGGCACATTCTTCCTGTGCGTAGCGCCAGGCCCCCTTCACACCTTGTGATGAGGATGATGTATGTTTAGTCTGAATTGCGACATTGATTGGGCTCGTTATTGGCATTCTAGCATTCTGCTGCGCTGTCTTGTACTACGTGAGGGAAATCAGTCCCGGTCAGGTCAGGACTTGTATCTAAGTCTTCCACTGCGCTGTAAAGCACCATTTTTGTATGTATCAGGATGCACACTGCTTGTTGAGATTTCACTAGCACTGCATTGTCCATTCAGTCCTTTTTATCACATTGCGGATCCTCGGTTATATATGTACATCGCCCAACAAGGCATGTCACAGTCAATATATAGGGTACAGGGTAGGTTTAGGGATCGAATCCTGCTCAGCACACAGGGTCAATGTACAGGGTTAGGGCACAGGTCTAGGGATCGAGCCTCTGTGTCTGCAATGTCGGGTCAACTGGGTGAAACCGTTTCAGTTGGAGTCGCGCTTGGATAACAAACGACAGGGGAGTTCAGGCAGTTGCTTTTCAAGAACACTGACGCGAAGCGAGCCATCACAACAAACCCGTAGTTGCATACCTGAAAAGGTACAGGAGCCATCTGACGCTGTATCTGTATAGCGTCTGTGAGGTGGGCACTGTGGGTGATGCCCGCACAAAAGAAGAGTGGGGAAAAAAAGAAAAAAGTTGTCTATTCAATGTATTCATGTAATATGGCTTAACGTTTTGCATAGACAGCAAATAAGGGACAACACAATGCCCGTAGATTGGAAGTTACTATAACCGAAACTTCCAATCATCCAATGTTCCACAAACTTCAAGGTTCAAATTTTTTAAATGAAAATAATATAAAGGCTCAAAATTGAATTCAAAGAACCACATACTTGATGTAGAAGAAATGTGCAATCAGACTCGCATTCAATCACACTTCACGCGTATGCAAACAGGTGCGCAGCAAACTGGCGCCAGGCGCCCACTCAGAACTCAGAGATATAGTACCAAGAACGCACTCAGATACAAGTTCACTTCACATGGCTATGGCGGTACATCGCCTGAACAACTCTCTGTTCGTCACTCCCTCGACACTGCTGTTCGCATACAGGATCACCCTGGATACCCCACACACCACACACTCTGTACCCACGCACACACCCGCACACACCTAAAGCTATGGCGGCTATGGCCGCTACTACCCTATCGCTATGGCTATCTCCTTCTCGCCCACTTCGTCCTCGGGCTCACTGCAGACCACCTCGCACAAGTCGCTATGGCAGTGCTTCCGCATGGCTTACGCAGGAATGAATGAATGGCTGGACGCTACTCTTTGATTTATACGTCTGTAGCTCGCTGGTCTGGCCCTTTTCCATCGGCCCATTGTGCACACAGTCCCGTACGGTACTTGCTGGACTGGACTGGGACTGACTGGACCCT